AGAGTAAAATTATTTTAAATGAATAAAGGAAATGGGTCAGAGCATCCATCTCCTGAGGTATAAGGGAGAACTGGGTGAGTCCTCTACTGTGCTGATGGTTCTTCACCTCTGAGCACACAGGTTCAGGAAAAGGTAGGCTGAAGGCTGCTAGTGCAGGAGGTAAAGGAGTGGGTAGAGGAAGCAAAGAGCATAGGCAGCTCCTCCCATCGTAGGGGAGGAGAGGAGTATTTTGAGATCAAGGGGAGAATTTTTATGGTTGAAGGAGTCTTGAGTAATCAGTAGGTGGCTGATTTTTAAAGTTAGGTTTGTATATTCCTGAATAATAATTCATATTATACTGGCAGCCAACATTTACTGAGGGTTTGTGACAAATGCCTGAGTGTTAAAAGAAGCAAAGCAGGGAACATATGCTCTACCCTCTCTGTTCCACACTCCCATACCACTGTAGACCAAACACTATCATCACACCAAGCAGAGAGTGGTGCATTTTCAGATACATCTCATCTTTAAAAACCTGCGTCTAAATTCTGTGGGTTTTTTTTCAGTCATAGCTCTTTATCATTTCCTGAAGCCATGCTGGTTTTGGAAATATGTTTAATCTTTCCTGAATTTACTATGCCTCAAGCAATCTGAACATTTTTGTTCTTTCTTCATTACCCATGAATTATAGTTGTCCAGCAAAAATGTCTCTACTATGGCTTCAATACTGATTAAACTAAACTAACTAATGCTTAACAAAATGTTCTGAATAATTCCCCTGGCCATGTTGCTCCTGGCCTGCTGTAACTTAAGTCTGCCAAATGACCCACAAAAGGGAATTAGAAGGAATGGAAACTGACCCATAAGAATAAAATCTGCCTTATTTTGTTAGGATGCTCTGTTCGACAGCCTCTCATATCTAGCTGTGCATTAGCTACACACATTAATGGTCACCGCCTTGCATCTGTGCAAAGCAGAAAAGGAGATGCTTGCCTGTCTGTCTGCTTTGACTTCCTAACCAGCAGCATTTAAGTCATTCACAGATGGTGCACAATTCTCCTAGCACTGAGAAGAGGGAGGCTTTCCTATGTCTCTTCAGTTTACCCAAATCCCACTTGAAAAATGAGGTGCCACTTCAAAGAAGCAGGCATTCTGTGGGTGGCCTTATAGCTTCTGGTTGATTTATGCTGGAGTTTAGCCACTGCCTTTGCAAAGACTTTGCTGTATAGAGTATATTTATCTGACCTTTCTTTGAAGAGACAATCCTATGGCAGCTCATAGGAACAAATGGGTCCTCCATGTAGAGAAGTTGGCATTTGGATGAGCTGCAGGAATTCTGATGTTCCTTCCAATTTGGTCCCTTAACCCTGTACTGGCCACCCTACTGCTGGGCTCAACACATCCTCAGCTGATGAGAAGGAATGGGCATCCTGAGGGTGACATACAATCTAGAATTTGAGGTGGCTTATCACTTTAATAAGAATCAGACTTAGGCCACTCAGGGTCTGAAAGTGTCATTGGAGGTGCCCAATGATGTTATGAGCTTGTTTATTTAATGAGCTTTATTAACACCAGGTACCTAGAGAGGTAAGGGAGTGTGTTGTGGTTGATGAGGGAGACAGATACACTTAAAAGCCCCAAGAGCCCCTGTTTTGCAAAGGCAAAGTGAGGAGTTATTTGTTCCCCTAAGAGGATTTCATCTTTTTGGATTTCAATGGCTCAGGCAGACCCCCATTATTTGGCACCCCTACTTCCATAGGGCGAGTTGACTATTTGATGGATCTAACCTAGTTTTTTAGGTATACCTTGCTATGAAAGAGTTCTGCTATTCTCATAAAACAAATCCCAAACTCACATGCTGCATGAGGCTTTGTTATATGGGGCCCTGAAGGAAAGGGTCAGGGCAGCTACAGGGCACACACCTTCCCACACAGAGCCCTGCCTCACTTACACTGCATTCACTGTGACCAGCCCCAGACAGTACCTGCACCCTCCTCTCCAGAAATCCCAGGCCTCACCACCTAGCTCCCAGAGATGGGGTTATAAAGGGAGAGTGGAGAAGCTGTTTAGGTCATGATTTTTTCCCTATTATATTAAACTACATTTCCCAGGAACATCTTCAGACAAGGATATCCAAGATCATGGAGGCTGAATTGCCTCCTCTCTACCCACCTGGAGCTTTTCCCCTTCTAGCTACACCTCCCCTCCCTTGAGAGGGTGCTGTTTGGGGATTAAATGGTTCCTGGATATCTCTGCCTGTAGAGATTTATGCTTCCTAGGTGAACCATTGGCCCCCCAAACTGGGTGGTCTGCTTCATTTAAACAAGTCATCTGTCCATGCCCAGTACTTTCCTCCAGAGATATCTAAGAACAAGACATTTAAATGGGATACAATAACATAAATTTGTCAAAGGAAAAGATGTGGGTATTTTGTAGAGATTGGCATTAGCTGACGTAAGTAAAGTCAATTAGGGCCACCACTGGGTGCCCAAGGAGTGCTATCTTGTTAATGGAGATCCTCGCTGAGTTACTTTCTGAAGTTCCTTTCCAGAAGTGAAGTTAAAATCATGCAATTAAAATGTTCACAGTTGGGGTTTGATGCTCTTGAACTGATTGAAAGATGAAGTGGACATGCCAACATTTTGGAAAAGCAATTGTCTCTGTAATTAAATGCAATTAATGAATAACTGTTTGCTTTTTTCCACATAGGACTGATTGAAATGCCAAAAATTAAAAAAAAAATGTCCCCATCTGATTTCTCTTTCCATCCTAACCAAAAAGTTTACCAATACATGAAAACTGCCAAGGGAGGTGATTTATTACATCAACTCTACAACCAATATTAGAGGTTAGAACACATCAAGAAAATTGGAGAGAAAGAAGTTGGAAAAAATAGAGCTCCAGACTGCTCAATGCACATAATTTCTCCTGAGCCCATATACTCTTCATTTTTTCCAGTAGAAAATAAACCTAACAATTTTTCTGTACCTGATGTCTAAGAGAGGAGCCATGGAATGTGATAAACAAAATGCAGTTTCCAAATGTGAGAATAAAAGTTGAGCTCACTCTAAGAAGACAAGCAACCCAATTTAAAAATGGGCAAAGGACTTCAACAGACACTTCTCCAAGGAGTACATATAGAGGGTCCAGGGACATATGAAAAGATGCTCAGTATCACCAGCTATCAGAGAGATGCAAATTAAAACTACAATGAGATACCACTTCACACCAGTCAGAATGGCCATCAGAAACAAAGCAGCAAACAACAAGGGTTGGAGAAGTTGTGGAGAAAGAGAACCCTAGTGCACTGTTGGTGGGATTGCAGACTAGTCCAGACACTGTGGAAAATAGTATGGAATTTCCTCAGAAAACTAAAAATGCATCTGCATTTTGACCCAGCAATTCCACTGCTAGAAATATATCTTAAGAACCCTGAAACATCAGTCCAAAAGAACATATGCACCCCAATGTTCATAGCAGCACAATTTATAATAGCCAAGTGCTGGGAGCAACCTAGGTGCCCATCAGTAAATGAATGGATCAAAAAACTATGGTACATTTACACAATGAAATTCTATGCAGCAGAAAGAAAGAAGGAGCTCCTTCCTTTTGCAACAGCATGGATGGAACTGGAAAGCATTATGCTAAGTGAAATAAGCCAGGCAGTGAAAGACAAATATCATATGATCTCACCTTTAACAGGAACCTAATCAACAAAACAAACAAATAAGCAAAATATAACCAAAGACACTGAAATTGAGAACAGGTTGACAGTGACCAGAGGGGAGGTCAGAGGGAATAATGGGGGGAGAGTTTTCAGGGACAAGTATAAAGGACACATGGACAAAACCAAGGGGGTTGGTAGAAGCAAGGGAGGGAGGTGGGTTTGGCTGGGGTGGGGTTGGAGAAGTGGGGGGTAAATACAGACAACTGTAATTGAACAAAAATAAAATAAATTTTTTAAAAATGAATTCATTATCTTTCTTAAAAACATTTTTTCTAATTATTATAGAAAAGTCTGGGAAATGATGAAAGAATAAAGAAGAAGAACTTTCTCATAATTTCACCACAGAGAGATAATCACTGAGCATTTTCTTTTTTCTATTACACAAACATATTTTAAATAATATTGAATATATATTTATCTGTAGTCTGATTTTTGCTTATTATGATTTTTCTTACTATTAAAAATTCATAAATGCTTTTTGAAATATTCAAATAAAATCTCATCATATGGACTTACTACTATTTACTTGATCATCCTCTTGTTATTGGGCATATAAGTTATTCACAGTATTTTTCTATTATAAAACTACAGAATGAAATATTGTAAAAAAAACCTGCCTATATTTTGGATTTTTTTCCTTAGGAAGCTTTCTAAAAGTGCAATTTCCTGGGCCAGATATTAGAATCATTTTTAATTCTAATTTTTTGAGGCTTCTAAGAGTATTTTCATGTACTGTCAAATTGCCCTTCAGAAAGGTGACCAATTTATATTTTCATCAGCAGGGTAAGAAGTTACCCCATTTCACAAATTCCCTACAATATTGAATATTGTCTCTACAAGAAAAACTTAAAACTCTTCTCAAAGAAAGCTCACATTTTCACAGATCATATGAGTCTAGAACAAATTTAAACCAATCTTGAAATTCTAGGTCTCTGGTTATGCTTCCCAGCAAGAGTAAGGGCACATTGAGGCCAGCACCAGGTCAGTGCCCACCAGGGCAGTTGAATTACTGTCATGAGCAACTGGAGAGCAGTACAGCTGCTGTCATCCATAAAAACATCTGCATATCATATTAATATAGAGCCTTTAAAAGTTATAGCAGGAAGACTCTATATAAGTTGCTATAACTTTTAAAGCCATACAAACAAGAGTGCTAAAGTATGAACTTAAAAATAGGTGTGTAAATATTTTTAATCTGTATTACTTGGAAAATAAAATAACCACATAAAATAAAATTTAAAAAATATATAGAGTCTGCTCCACTGTCACTCATATCCCTTTCTATCTTTTCCAGCTGTGCTGGCTGAAGATGGACATGAGGTCATTCTAGAGAAGATCGAAGACTGGAATGTGGTAGAGCTCAAGGTGAATGAAGAAGTTATCTTCCACTGCAACATCAAAGACTTGGAATTTGGTAGAGCCTTCCTATCTGGATTTTGCTTTCTCTCAAGTGTCTTCAGTTTCTAGTTGAAGGGGTCAGTCATTGTGTCATGCCCAGATTCAAATTGGGTCTCTTTCTGAGTCAAAGTCCTGTGCTTTACAACATGTGAGTGGGCATATCCTAAAACACACACAGTAAAGAACTTAATGCTCTAGGCTTCTTCCCAAAACACTAAGAACAGAAAAGGGACAAAAAGAAAATGAAGTTTGAGTTCTAGATTTCAAATGATATGACAGGAACTTAGGGATAATAGGTTTTCGGTGGTTTTGCATTTTAATGTGTTTTATTATTGGCTGCCTTCAAAACAGTTTTTGTTTCATTTGATTACTCCATCTAGCTTCATAAGACAGAGTTGGCATTCCAGTAGTATATGGTGCCATCTGCAACATTCTAAGGATTTCTTTGCCCTGGTGAGTTGCTGGCCTAGCAGGCTGGCACCAGGCATGCCTCACTCTGCTCAGAAGTAAAGCTTTTGCAATCCACTAATACTCTATTAAAGGCTAGTTAACCATTAACATGCTTGTGCACTTTGAAAACACTCTCCCAAGTGGAAGCTACATGTGTGTCTTATTTGGTATTACATTCTATGTAAAGCTGGCCACAAGAAAAATTTTTTTATTTCCCTAGGAGGTGATGGTAAACTAGACCCTCTGTGCCAACAGGCCAGAGTAGCTGTGCTAAATGCCTACTGATCTCTTCGTTGGAACAGGCATCTCAAGTCAAAAGAACAGCAACTGCCTCCGTGGTTCAGTGATACAAACAAAGCAGGCTGCACAGTCAGAACAAGGCAACACCAGTCTGTCCTTCAGCTTACACAGGATAGGATTTCTCACCCAAGAGCAAGGAAATGGGACCTGCAGAAACAATGCAACCTCATCATTTGCAGTTGCTTTCCATCTAAATCCATAGAGAGAGCCCTCCAATATCAGGTACATGTTGAGCTGAAGGAAATAATAAAGTGCAACCTAATAACAAAGCTCCATCTCTTATTAATAACACATAGTTGCCAGAAGCATCTGAGATTCCATTTTATTGTTAGAAAAGAGATATGAACAGGTAAAATTGAAGATGAGCAGGAAGGGATGGGTGGAAGGGAAAATAGTGGCCTTTGAAAAACTGAACCAAAGTTAATGTTAGTATTTGGAAATTTGGCTAATCTACAGATTTATTTCTTGTTCCCAATGGAATACTATTTAAAATACTAATAGACAATTACCTGAAATCAAATTATCAGGTATCCTTTTTGAAAACAAGAAAATTATCTGCCTTATTTTGCATTGGCCAGTTCAACAAGCTGTTCTGAAAGGGGCCCAAAAGAGGCCAGGGCAGAAGGGTAAAGTGTCTCTCCTGTCCCTCTGAAGGCAATAACACGGAGTTAAAGAAGGGTTTTAGTTATGGTCAGTGTAAAACCCAGCCATGTCAAAATGATGCTCTTTTTACTTTCAGGTCTATGTACCACACTGCAGCATATATTCTTAGCTCTACAGTAAAAAGAGAGGAGAAATGCAGATATTAATGTAATGACATTAAATGTGAGGTTGTGGTAAGAAAGCATCACACTTTTGAGAAGAAAGATGCATGGAAGACTCTGGGCTAGTGTTAAAAGAAGGGCTTTCAGAGCTCCACAAGGTGGCTGCTGGCTCTGAGCTTGTGCCCCTCAGGGGAGTGACAACTCTAATTCCTGTGGCTTTCTAGAACCTGGGGAACTATCCTTTCCATTGTTGCAGGCAGCCTCAGACCCCCTGCCCCCTCTCCAAAGTTGAAACGCATCTAGAACTTGATGAAAACACTTGTACAAGTTCTTTCTCACACTTGTACATAGTATCAAATAGGGATATAATTTTCATTTTCAACACAAACTTCACATCGGATTTCACTGAGAGATGATGAATCACATAGGACAGTTGGGAACCTGAGGCTAAAAAAAACCTTCTCCCTGGTGTCTGGGAGAAGGTTTTCACACATCTTGAGCAACCCTAGAATTAATCTTTTATTCTCAAAGGCCAGTAAGTTATCAATGTAGCCTTCTATCTTTGTTTTCATATAAACATTTTACTACAAGTAAATGCATGTTTATTACAGTAAGTTGAAAAAATAAGGTAAGAATAAAGTACAAATTTGATAATATTTTGCTATATTTCAATTTTGGTTTTTCTATTTACTATATGTTTAAATATATATAAAGAGATAAACATGTAGAAGTTGATATCACCAATTTGGGATCATGTTGTATATACCCAATTATCTTTTTTTTAACTTAAAATTTTTATGTTGAGCTTCTTACTGTGACTGTCTAAGAATTCTATCTTATATCAGGAAATTTGTTCCTGTTTTAACAGTGATTTCTACTTTTACTGCCAAAACTTTTTCTGCTGAGAGATGAAATTGCAAGCTTTCCCATCTGCACTTGGTACTGTAACTTCAGCTCCAAAGACAGTGAACCCTCCTTAGACTCTGGGACATGAATGTTGAACTGGCAAAAACACTCCCCATGGCAGCAGCTCTGCCCTCCTTCTGCACAGACCCCCTCGGCCTGTATTTGTGCTCTCAGAGCAGCTTCCCACTTCCACCAGGGCCTACTCTTCTTCCCTCCATGAACAGAGCAGGACAGATGAGATTGTACATGGATTCTAAGAAAGACCAGAGTGCATAATGCTTCTGGCGGATGCTGTATTCAGGACATGGTGTTCCAGTTTAAATCAAAGTTAAACAGTGTATGAATATAAACATTTTTAATTATATTTTATTGATTATGCTATTACAGTTGTCCCATTTCCCCTCTTCTCTCCGCTCCACCCTGTACCCCCTCTCCCACCCATGTTTCCCCTCTTTAGTTCATGTCCATGTGTCATACTTATGAGTTCTTTAGCTTCTACATTTCCTGTACTATTCTTGCCCTCCCCCTATCTATTTTCAACCTACATTCTATGCTACTTATTCTCTATACCTTTTCCCCCTCTCTCCTCCTCCCACCCCCCCTGCTGCTAACCCTCCATGTTCCCTCCATTTCTGTGGTTCTGTTCCTGTTCTACTTGTTTACTTAGTTTCTTTTGGTTTTGCTTTAGGTGTGGTTGTTAATAATTGTGAGTTTGCTGACCTTTTACTATACATGTCTTTTCTATATCTTCTTTTCTTAGATAAGTCCCTTTAGCATTTCATAAAATAAGGGCTTGGTGATCACGAACTCCTTTAACTTGACCTTATCTGAAAAGCACTTTATCTGCCCTTCCATTCTAAATGAGAGCTTTGCTGGATAGAACAATCTGGGATGTAGGTCCTTGTCTTTCATGACTTGGAATATTTCTTTCTAGCCCCTTCTTGCCTGTAAGGTCTCTTTGGAGAAATCAGCTGACAGTCTGATGGGAACTCCTTTGTAGGTTACTGTCCCCTTATCTCTTGCTGCTTCTAGGATTCTCTCCTTCGTTTTTACCTTGGCTAATGTAATTATGATGTGCCTTGGTGTGTTTCTTCTTGGGTCCAACTTCTTTGGGGCTCTCTGAGCTTCCTGGATTTCCTGGAAGTCTATTTCCTTTGCCAGAATGGGGAAGTTCTCCTTTATTATTTGTTCAAATACGTGCTCAATTTGTTGTTTTTCCCCTTCCCATTCTGGTACCCCTATAATTTGGATGCTGGAACATTTAAAGGTGTCCTGGATGCTCTTAAGCTTTTCCTCGATTTTTTGAATTCTTATTTCATCATGCTTTCCTGCTTGGTTGATTCTATCTTCCTTCTGGTCCACTGTATTGTTTTGAGACTCAGATTTCTTCCTTTCACTATTGGCTCTCCTCTGTGTATCTTCCTGCATCTCTTTTATGGTAACCTGCATCCTTTCATCTAAATTGCACCCAAAATCAACCAGTTCTGTGAGCTTCCTGATCACCAGTGTTTTGAACTGCGCATCTGATAGATTGGCTATTTCTTGGTCGCTCAAAAGGATGAGTTCTGGGGCACTGATTTGTTCTTCTATTTGAGCCATCTCTCTCTCTCTCTCTCTCTTTTTTTGTCTGGTCACTCCTGTTATGGTGGGGGGCAGAGCCTTAGGTGTTCACCGGGGCTGGGCACCCCAGATGCTAGATTGTGACGTTATATGTGGAGGCAGGGGCGGGAGCGGGGACGGGAGGGAACAATGGTGGTAGTTCCGTTCTCCTGGGCTCAGACCCTTCTCTGGGATCCTGGGCTGCGAACTCGGCCCTAGTCCACAATTGCTGCCTCACTGGGTCCGCCAGCCGCAGCTTGCGTACTCAGGGATCACCGCTGCGTTCTTGAGCCCCAGATGGCTGTTGCGCCAATTTCGCGCCAGATTTTCCCCGACCTCCGCGTGCCGCCAACCCGCACCAGCCCCGCGCCCGCCTGGCTCGTCTTCTCCTACCAGTCTGGATGTACGGGTCTACTTCAACTTCTTGGCTGTCCGACTTCCATTCAGATAAATCCTCTATCAGTTCTGAGTGTTATTCTATCTGTAAATTATTGTTGTTCTAATCTTGGTTGTGCGGGGAGGTACGGTGCGTCCACCTATTCCTCCATCTTGCCGGAAGTCCCTGAATATAAATCTTTATTACTTGAAAAAGTTACAGGGTTACCTCAGGGTGGTGGCTTAGAGAGGTGGGTGGGGTGGGTAAAGGGAGGAGGCCTGCAGGACTCTCATTTCTTCCATACTGTATGTGTTTTCAGTAGTGGAATTAATTTTTACTTGCATGGAGGTGGTATTTTTCAAATAAACATTTAAAATAAAATCAATTAAGCCAAAAATAAAACTGGAATTTGACTTTGAGGTCATCTGTCTATATGACTTAACCCTTCTCTGTCATAGAGTAGGAAGAGCTTTCTCCTTGAAAATGCAAAATATATCCAGAGACATTGAAATAAAGACAGAGTGATAGTAACCAGAGAGGAGTGGGGAGGGGATAATGGGAAAAAAGGAAAGGGTCATCAAGGAACATGGATAAAAGACACATGGACAAAACCAAAGAGGGTAGGATAGAGGGTAGCAGGTGTGAGTGGGTGGGGCAGGGGAGGGGTGGGGGGAAATGGAAACAACTGTTCTTAGAACAACTGTTCTCTATAACAACTGTTCTTGTATATACGCTGTTCTTGTAACACAACTGTTATAAGGACAACTGTTCTTATAACAATTGTTCTTTGACAACAAGTTAAAAAAAAGAAATTTGTAAATAAGGTAATAATTTCTGAGTCTAAAGAAATGTACCACTTCTAGTCAAGAGGGTGGTGTAGGCAGACATGGCTCACCTTCTCACACAACCACATCAAAATTACAACTGAGATATAGAACAACCACCATTCAGCACCATCAGAAACTAAGGTGAATGGAAGTCTGACAACTACGGAATTAAAGAAACCACATCCATACAGACTGGTAGGAGAGGCACAGATGTGGAATGGGCTGGTTCCACACCTGCATGTGATGGATAAATATTTGGGATGGATATCTCAGGAGCAAGAAGTCCCAGCCACACACCAGTCCCCTCAGGCCAGGGTTTCAGTGCCAGGAAGATAAGTCTCCATGACTTCTGGCTGCAAAACCAGCAGGGAATGAGTCAGTGGAAGAAATTTCTGGAGCCCCAAGCAGTTCCTCTTAAAGAACCCTCATATAGACTTGTCTACTCAGACTCACTCCTTCTGAGCTCCAGCACCAGAGTAGCAGCTTGAAAGGCACCAGTAACATACTGGGAGA